TTTCAGTTTGTTAATATGGTGGATCACATTAATGGATTTCCGTATATTGAACCACCCCTGCATACCTGGGATGAAGCCTACTTGGTCATATTGGATGATATCTTTGATGTGTTCTTGTATTTGGTTTGCAAGTAATTTGTTGAGTATTTTTTCATCAATGTTCATAAGGGAAATTGGCCTGAAATTCTCTTTCTTTGTTGGGTCTTTGTGAGGTTTAGGTACCAAGGTGACTGTGGCTTCATAGAGTGAGTTTGGTAATGTTCCTTCTGTTTCTATTTTGTAGAATAGTTTGAAGAGAACTGGAGTTAGCTCTTCTTTGAAGGTCTGGTAGAATTATGCGCTGAAACCATGTGGTCCTTGGCTTTCTTTTTGGATGGGAGACTTTTGATGACCACTTCTATTTCCTTGGGGGATATACAACTATTTAATTGATTTACCTGGTCCTGATTCAGCTTTGATAAGTTGAATCAATCAAGAAAATTTTCCATTTCATTTAGATTTTCAAATTTTGTGGCATATAGACTTTTGAAGTAAGTCCTAATGATTGTTTGGATTTCCTCAGTGTCTGTAGTTATGTCCTTCTTTTCATTTCTGATTTTGTTGATTTGGATGGTGTCTCTCTGCCTTTTAGTTAGCTTGGCTAAGGCTTTGTCTATTTTGTTGATTTTTTTTTCAAAGAACCAGCTCTTGGTTTCATTGATTCTTTGAATTGTTTTCTTTGTTTCTAATTGATTGATTTCAGCCCTGAGTTTGATTATTTCCAGCCGTCTACTCCTTTTTGGTGTGTCTGTTCTTCTTTTTCTAGGGCTTTTAAGTGAGCCATTAAGTTGCTTGCATGAGATGTTTCGAATTTCTTTTTCAAGGCACTTAGTGCTATGAACTTTCCTCTTAGCACTGCCTTCATTGTGTCCCACAAGTTTGGGTATGTTGTGTCTTCATTTTCATTGAATTCTAGGAAGACTTTAATTTCTTTCTTTATTTCCTCCCTGACCCAGCTGTCATTTAGTAGCAAGTTGTTCAGTTTCCATGTGTGTGTAAGATTTTTGCTATCTCTGTTGTTGTTGAGGTCCAGCTTTATTCCATGGTGATCAGACAGGAAACAAGGGATTATTTCAAAATTCTTGTATCTGTTGAGGCTTGCTTTGTGACCATTATGTGGTCTATTTTGGAGAAGGTTCCATGAGGTGCTGAGAAGAAGGTAAATTCTTTTGTGTTTGGGTGTAAGGTTCTGTAAATGTCTGTTAGGTCCATTTGATTCATGACCTCTGTCAGAGACATTGTTTCTTTGTTTAATTTCTGTTTTCTTGACCTGTCCTTTGTTGAGAGTGGGGTGTTGACGTCTCTCACTATTAATGTGTGGGGATCTATATGTGGTTCAAGTGTTATCAATGTTTCTTTTACAAATGTGGGTGCCCTTGTATTTGGGGCATAAATGTTCAGGATTGTGATGTCTTCCTGGTGGAATTTTCCCTTGATGAGTATGAAGTGTCCTTCCCCATCTCTTTTGATTAATTTTGGTTGAAAGTCTATTTTATCAGATATTAGAATGGCTACTCCTGCTTGCTTCTTGGGTCTATTTGCTTGGAAAACCGTCTTCCAACCCTTACACTCAGGTAATGTCTATCTTTGTGACTTAGGTGTGTTTCTTGTATGCAACACATTACTGGGTTTTGTTTAGACATCCAGTCTTTTAGTCTGTGTCTTTTTATTGGAGAGTTGAGTCCATTGATGTTGAGAGAGATTAATGACCAATGGCTGTTAGATCCTTTGATTTTGATGTTGGTTGCGGTCATAAGGTTGTGTGCTTGGTTGTTTTTTGTTTTACTGTAGTGAGGTTAATTATTTCCTGTTTTTCCTTGAAAGTAGTTAGTTTTCTTGGGTTGTATTTTCTAGTGTCTTCTGTAATGCTGGATTTGTGTGTAGGCATTGTTGAAATTTGTTTTTGTCATTGAATATCTTGTTTTCTCCGTCTATGAGGACTGAGAGTTTTGTGGGGTATAGTAGCCTGTGCTGACATCTGTGTTCTCTTAGGGTCTGCATGATATCCGTCCAGGCCCTCCTGGCTTAGTCTGTTGAAAAGTCAGGTTTGATTCTAATGGGTTTGCCGTTATATGTTACTTGGCCTTTTTCCCTTGCAGCTTTTAGTATTTTTTCTTTGTTCTGTATACTTACTGTTTTGATTATTATGTGGCGGGAGGATTTTCTTTTCTGGTCTAATTTATTGGGTGTTCTGTAGGCCTCTTGTATTCTTATTGGCCTCTCTTTTAAGTTGGGGAAATTTTCTTCAATGATTTTGTTGAAAATATTTTCTGGGCCTTAGAGCAGTGAATCTTCTTTTTCCTCTATTCCTATTATTCTTAGGTTTTGTCTTTTTATGTGGTCTTGAATTTCTTGGACGGTCTGTGTCAGGAATTTTTTAGATTTAACATTTTCTGTGACAGATACATCTATTTCTTCCATTGTATCTTCCACACCTGAGATTCTTTCTTCCATCTCTTGTAGTCTATTGGTTATGCTAACCTCTGTTGTTCCTGTTTTCTTCCCTAAGTTCTTTCTCTCCACTATTTTCTCCATTTGTGTTTTCTTTAATTTTTCCAATTCTATGTTCAGATCTTGAATCGTTTTGTTGATTTCCTTCACCTGTCTGACTGTATTTTCCTGTTTTTCCATCAATTCTTTCAGCTGTTTGTTTGAACAATCCTCTGTTTCTTTTATTTCATTCAGTGATTTAAGCATTTCTTCTCTAAAGGCCACAAACTGTTTGGCTGCAACTTCCTCTATTTCTTTATGGATGGCCATAATCTGTTTGAGTTTATCTTCCTCCAGATCTTAAGTATTTTATTTGTTTCCTCTGTTATCCTCTTCATGAGCATAGTTGTTAGGTCATTTTCTTGGATTTCAGTTATGCTGGGGTGTCCAGGTTTACTTGCCCCTGGATAACTGAGTTTTGGAGATGCCATATTGTTCTGTCTTTTGTTGGTTGAGCTTTTATGCTGGCCTCTACTCATTGGACTATCTTAGGTGTTTGGGGTTAGTTTCTGGTGGTTCCTGGGCTTCTTGTGGTGGAGAGAATCCCCTTGGCAGGAAGATGGTTTTTCCTGAAGGAAGCCTTCTTAGCTTTTTGGGTATAGTCACTGTATTGCTGGTGTTTTTCAGGATTTGCCGCTGCTCACCTCAGGGATAGAGATGTGAGTGGTAACTGTTAGTCCTTGTTAGTGGAGAGGGTTCTCCTCTCACTTGGGGAAGTCCTGAAGATAGCTGCCCTGCTTCTGGGTTTCTTGCTGTAGATTTAGTTATCTGCTGCTGTAACCTGTGTGTCTTGTGGTTTAGTCAGTTAAGTTAGGGATAACTGGTTGCCCCTTGGAGCAGTATCTGGGGCTTGATCTCAGGGGTTCCAGGCTATTGTAGGTCTGAGGTTGGGGCTCTATGTCCCAGTACCTAAGCAGTAATCTGTGGCAGGTTGGTACTGCTCTCCTCGTAACAGCAGGCTATCTGGTGCACAGCAGGTCCCTGGGTTGGGCTGGTCTGCAGGACCTATTCCAGGGATATACTGGGTGGCCTAAGTCTGTCCCCTTTGCTTCATTCCCTGTGGGGATTTCTCCTGACAGTGACTCCCAGTCTCTGTTGCCCTGGGGCACACAGCTGGAGAGCTGATGCGCAGCAGCTGTCTGAGCCTGTGCCTGGAGCCCAGTTCAGTGCTGGCAGTGCACACCCTCTGGTCTGCGAGGCTTTTTCCAGGGAAAGCCTGTGTGACCCAAGTCAGTATCATTTCCTTCCTTCCCTGTGGAGTTCTCTTGCGACAGGGACTCTCAGTCTCTGGTGTTTTTGTGCCCACCGTTCAGCCTGGGAAGGTGATAAGGACAGGCAGGCGTGTGGCTCTGGTCTGGGGACCTAGTGCCTGTGGGACCTGGGATCTTTTCCCGGTTCTGGCTGGGGGACCTGAGAGTGGATCCGACTGATTCCCACGCCGTGGGAGTTTCCTCTCACCTGGGAAACATGATCACTGTTGTTTTAGGGCCCAGAGTTCAGCCTCTTGGTCGCTGAATGGGAAATGTTGTCCTGTCCTCGACGCAGTGTTCTCCTGGCACCGCCATCTTTTTGTCCCCCTTGAATTTTGTTTTCTTATGTTAAACACCTCTTCCTTACTGTTTCTTCCTGGTCAGTGTTGCTTATTTCTTTCCTCAAAACTTTCCAAAAGCCCCTTGGCCTGAATCATGGCTGTCTCATAACCTGTACTGGAAAGTGGAACAAGAATTTCAAGGCCAATAAATCCAAATTTAACAAAAGAGGTTTTAATGGAGGTGCAGATCAAATATTCCTGTGATATTACTTTAGTTGTGTTCCATTCATCACTCAATTTGCAAGTGCTTGTTCAGGTACCTACTGTTAGAAGAACCATATGTGTTTTGTACTACGCTCACCTGCCCAGCAAAGGTTCATGTGTTTGAATCCTTTGTCCTTTAGCTTTGGAGGTGTTTTGGGAGGACATGAAACATTTGACAGCAGAGTTTGACTGGCAGAATTGAGTTGTTTGATTGTATATTAAAGGAAATACCTATTCGGGGTCTGTTATGATTTCCGTTTATTTGTTCAGCCTCTAAATGACTCATCTCTGACATGCTCACGGCACCATACTGCGGTCTACCATGCTTTCTTCATTGTGATGAACTGTATCTGCTGACACTCTCTACCGAAATAAGTATTTTACCCCTTAAGTAGGTTTTAATGGGTATTTTGTCATATCAATAAAACAAGTCAGTAATAAATATGCTAAATATATGATTTGTTGTGGATATTTATGATATATTGTAATTCTAATGTAGTACCAACTTATATGGCACAAATTAATAAAATTGCCTGTGAGAAATCAACAAGAAGCCTTGTTTCACTATGTATATTGATTTATGAAAAAGGAAAAAGATCTTTTGAGCTTACACATTCTTGGTTATTTCTAATTATTTATTATTTGTAATTATATCCATCTTGATGTTTCATGTAACTTGGGAAGAAGTTCATTTTCACATGTACTTTACTGCAAATGGCCTTCAATGAGACCTGTGCAGAATTTGCTCTCACCTTTCTCATCTACTGCTCAATTGGATTCCTCTCAGGACTGTCTGTTGATGGTGTATTAGCAAATAGTTCCTTGGTCAGTAAGTTAAAGGTTTTGAAATAGGACCTTGTTCAAATTTTGGTTTTGACCCTGGAAATCTTTCTTAAGTCAATATACCTTTTTCTCTTTCAGTGGACAAGCCCTAAATTCCTAGCCATGGTGGCACTGCTGTTATCATGTGCTGGTGCTATTGGACACATAATATTGGCAGGCCTGGCTTTTACATTTCCAAACTGGCACCACCTTCAACTGGCAATGACTGTACCAAAATTCTTCTTCCTCTTTCCTCCTCTGTGTTATGGAATTCTGTGAAGATAATGAACCTGGAATGAGTATATAAGAAACACATTTCTCCTTGGTCTATACCTGATAATGTGCACTCCTCTTTGTACATATGTGATATAATAACAAGCTGCACTGTCAAGAATACTGAATTCAGCCTAAAATTAAATTAAATGTTAAATAGTTTTATAAAACCAAACATAAGTGTAGCAAGAGATAGTAGCATATTGAAGAGAATTCACTCTTTATACAAAAGTAATGTGTAACTGTGAATTCTGTATTTTGCCTATTAACCAGACAAAATGTATAACCTCTCATTAAATTTATGTTACAAATAGACAAATAATTTTAAAGAAAATATATTGAAAATATTGGATATATTATACTAGTAGAAAAAAGTATAATATTCAGGAGTTAAGCATCATTATGAAAAGTTTAATTTCCTTTGGAAGGAAAAAAACAAAAGGAGAGTAGAAATAAATGAAACCTGAATGTTCTTGGTCTTTCTGCTTTGTGTGATGGCTATTCTTGGTTGTCAACTTGACTAGCTCTATAATGAACTATAATCCATAAATGGAAGGTACACCTGTGAAATATTATTTTTGTTGGTTTGAAGTATGTGAATCCACTTCTAGTCCTTACCTTTGAGGTAAGAAGACACGAGCCTTTATTTGGATCTTGAAGCAGGAAGACACATCTTTAGTCCGGGCCACACCTTCTGATAGACACCTATATAAGGGCATGGAAGAAGGAAGCTTTTTTCCTCTTGCCTGCTTGCCCTCACCTTGCTAGCACATCTACTTCTTCACTGTCAGTGAAGACTACTTCTTTGGGATTCCAGAATATACAGAAGACTAGCCTTGTTGGACTGAACAACTGCTAGATTCTTGGCACAGCTAGTTGTTCGTTGTTGAATTAGCTGGACTGCAGCCTGTAAGTCACCCCCATTTCCTTATCTCTCTCTAGAGATTGATTCTTTCCATAAGTTATGTGGCTCTAAAAAACCCAGGTTATAGATATTTTAGTACCAGAAGTGGTTCTTGAGAAACAGAAGTATAAGGATGAATCCTTTAAATAGCTGGAATGGGTTTTTCAATTCACCAGCACCTTCAGCTACTTTAGCTTCTCCCTTTCCTGGTAGCTCAGAGAGTACTGAAAGCCCATGGTGTGAACTACATTACAAACTTAAACAGCTAAATGCATTTGATTATCCTGATTCACCAATTATGAGTGGCAATGCATTTGGTGACTTTCATATGAACATCTGACAGTTTGGGTCAAAATAAGGAAATGATGGTGTTGGTTGGTTGCTCTTAGCATCTCTGAATAAACTGATAAAAGCTAGTAATGAGCTATATGATAAAATTAACCAACTTCAGAATATGGTGAAGGACAACAAAGAACTTAGTGATTAAATTGACAGGCTCCAGATGCACATAAACAGTGTAAAGGTTTCCAAGAGTGCCATGTAAGAGAATCTTCTCTCCAGCAGCCACAGAGCTTGAGTTAAAGAAAATAAAACTGAAGGCCTCATTATGAGGTTGGCTGAATCACAATAAAAATTCAAGTCCTAGCCTCAGAGGGTATTGATAGTTAAAGTGAGGGCAATGATTAGTAAAGAATGGATCCTATATATTGGGGTGGAGATGTGTGGGAGGACCATATCAAAGCTAAGAACTTTTCCTGATGACTGAGGATGTTGAGCATTTCTTTAAGTGTTTCTCCACCATTTGATATTCCTCTATTTAGACTTCTCTGTTTATTCTGTACCCTATTTTTAAACTGGATTATTTGGCTTGTTGGTGTCTGATTTCTTGAGTTCTTTATATATTCTGGATATTAGCCCTCTATCAGATGTAGGGTTGGTGAAGATCTTTCCCAGTCTGTAGGCTGTCATTTTGTTCTGTTGACAGTGTCCTTTGCTTTACAGAAGCCTTTCAGTTTCACGAGGTCCCATTTATTAATTGTAGATCTTAGAGCTTGTGCTGTTTGTGTTCTGTTCAGGAAATCGTCTCCTGTGTCAGTGAGTTCGAGGCTCTTCCTCACTTTTTTTTTTCAATAGATTTAGTGTGTCTGGTTTTATGTTGAGAACTTTGATTCACTTGGACTTTAATTTCATTCAGGGTGACAGATATGGGTCTGTTTGCATTTTCAACATGTAGACATCCAGTTAGACCAGCACCATTTTTTGAAGATGCTATCTTTTTTTCCATTGTATAGTTTTGGCATCTTTGTTAAAAATCAGGTGTCTGTAGGTGTGTGCATTTATTTCTGGGGCTTTGATTCAATTCCATTGATCCACCATTCTGTTTCTATGCCAGTAACATGCTGTTCCTATTACTGTTGTTCTACAGTACAACTTAGATCAGAGATGGAGATATCTCCAGAAGTTCTTTTATTGTACAGAATGGTTTTAGTTATTCTGGAGTTTTTGTTTCTCCATAGGAAGTTGAGAATTGTTCTTCTGATATCTGTAAATAATTGTGTTAGTATTTTGATGGGAATTACATTGAACCTGTAGATTGCTTTTGGAAGGATGGCCATTTTCACTATGTTAATCCTACTGGTCCATGAGCATGGGAGATCTTTCCATCTTCTAATATCTTCTTCAATTTTTTTCTGCATTGACTTGAAGTTTCAGACCCACCACTATTTGCCTCTAGACCTGTAATGAAACTTAAACATAAGCAGGCTCTTAAAAGAATGGTAGAAAGTGTAGCTCATGAGGAAATTCACTACAATACTAAGGAGCTTAATGAGTTTGCTTATTCATTCAAGAAGTCTGGGAAATATGTGTGGGAATAGATTTTAATGGTGTAGGATAATAGTGGAAGAAACATAAAACTAGATCAGTCTGAGGTTATTGATATGGGTTCTCTGAGTGAAGGTACTAGGCTTAGTATGGAAGCTTACACTGTTTTTTAAAAAAAGGGGTGAAAAGTTTCTTTGAATTGTTAGATGAAGTATTTGTAAAACAATGGCCCACTGAAAAGAAGTTGGAGACATGTGTCTTTTGGCTTAGTGTTGATGAAGGGATTTGAAGGCTCAGGAGAATGGCAATGATAAAGTGGTTATGCTGTATAAAACCTAATCCTCCACATTGGTAAGGCCCAGAAGAAATACCCTCCACTAACCTTGTAAGATAGAAAATGGCAAGAGGGAATCCAGTACATTTGAAGCATTTTATTGTTTCCCTTTTTCTTGTGTCAGACTTTAGGGCTGGAGATGCTGCTGCTCAATTATATGAATTAAATGCAATGGGTTTAACTGAGCTCCTGAGGTGGCAGAGGCCAGGTGGTGGCAGTATTGAATTAGCAAAGACAAGGTGATTAAGTTATTGTAATGGATAGCATAGACGGAACAATGTTCACAATCGTCTAACTTATAGTGATCAGCATAGACAAAGTAAATTTTATAGTGGTATGACTGATATAGATCATTGGTACTGGTTAATCAATCAAAGCATTTGCAGACATGAAATAGATAAAAAGCCTACTGAACTTTTGTTAGATCTGTATAAGTGGAAAAAGAAAGGGTACATTGGATCATGGCAAAAGGAAATTTCAGCCTATGAACCAATTTTCAGACTTGAGCTATCTTGTAGTCCCAGAACCTCTTGAATAAAGAGGTGTTCATGTTTTCTCAGGAAGGATATTGATTTAAAAAAACTATTTTTTCCGGTTAATCTTACTCCAGTCCTTACCAAGAAGTATATATGTGTGTGGTAATATACACTGGGGGAAAGGAAGCAATCAGACTTTTAGGGGTATGTTGGGTACTAGTTCTGAATTGATGGCTGATTCAGGTAGATCCAAAGAAACACTGTGGTCCTCAATTAAATAGGGTTTTTATAGAGGCCAAGTGATTAATGGAGTTTATGCTGAAGTGTGACTCACAGGAAGTACAGTAGGTCCCCCAAATCATCCTGTGGTTATTTTTCTAGTTGCAGAATGTATATTGGGACAGATATATTTTGAAGTTAGCAGAATTCTCACATTGGTTTTCTGACCTGTGGAGTGAGGCCTATTATTGTTGGAAAGGCTAAATGGAAGCCTTTAGAGCTCCCTCACCAAAAAAAATATTGAATCAAAACAGTATAGCATCCCTGTAGAAACTGCAGAAATTAGTGTCACCATCAATGACTTGAAAGATGCAGGGATGGTGGTTCCTGCCACATTTCCCTGTAACTTTCCTATCTGACAGTGCAGAAGACAGATGGATTGTGAGAATGACAGTTGACTCTAGAAAACTTAATCAGGTTGTAACTCTTATTGCAGCTGCTTTACCAGACATAGTGTCCTTACTTGAACAAATTAACACATATCTTGGTACACAAGCAAATTCATTTTTCTCAGTACCTGTCCGGCAGGACCACCAGAAGCAATTTGCTTTCATCTGCTAAGGCCAGCAGTATACCTTTAAAGTTTTACCTTAAGTATATATTAACTTTCCTGCCCTGTATCATAACTTAGTAAGAAGGGATCTCAATCATCTGTTGCTTCCACAAAACATTATATTGATGAGTTATATTGATGACATTATTGATGACTAGACTAATGTTGTTCTCTATCCAGTGGTAGTCTGGGATGTGGCTGTCAGCTTCCAGAGGAAGAATAGAGAAAACCTGAGGTCAAAGGTTCCATTTCTCTTAAGAGTGGCTAGAGTGTGCACAGGGGGGAGGCTCCTGTGCTAGGTGAAGCTCTCAGTTTCACTGGGAGAGGTGGAAGTGAGTTTTTCACTGAGTGTTACAATTAGCTTTTTCAAAGTGAGATTGCTGGTACCAGATGGCAGTGGAAACTCAAGTGTTCACAAAATCACATGATGATACCACAGTGTTACAGCCCTTTGGTAAAGCTGCTGTATTAGTGGCAGAGGTGTAGGTGAAAGCCCATGGCTGGTCAGCTCAGTGGGCTGGATGGCAGGTGAAGGCCTGGGGGGCCAGAAGGTGGGTACAGGTCCAGCAGGTGCTTGACCAGAGGTCAGCACCAAGCTTGTGGCAATGGTCAGGCAT